ACTAATTTTGTGGCTAAAATGGTCTGATTTGAGGTGGGAGAGACATGTAATTGATTGCAATGTGATAATGCTCAAGACTTGTCATCTAAGCGTTCCTTTCAAGAGCTACGTCATAAGAAAATATCTTTGAAATTCACAAGTCATTGACGTTGAAGATCTTGATTGATGTTTCTTTTATGTTTATCTTCTCTTCTGTGGAGTAAAGCCTACTTTTTCAAGATCTCCCACACGCGATTATTGTGAGAGGTGGAAGCTATATTGGAATAAGTAGGAGTAATATTATCAGAGAATTTTCATAAAAATATGATAATATACAATTAAATTGCTATTGTAGGAAACATTATGTTAAGAACTATTATTATTTTTTTCTTCTATTATATGTCTACTAACAGTCCTCATATTCCCACTCCCCTCACTTGCTCTCATCTCCTCTTAAATCCCCCATGTTAGCTCTCACCTTGGTATGCATTCTCCATTGCATATATACTTTCCTGCAACATAATCTCACTGACTCTCCAGCATTTCCAAAATGCTTGTTCACTTGTAGCTCATTATGATTCAATTCATTCTAGAGCACCATACGTGATATTTTATTATATTATCTCTAGCAGCCCCACTACCACCACCTCCTAGGTCCATGCTCATCAAGTCTCTTCCACCTCACAAGACAATCTATTGTACTCTTTATAGTAATTTGAGTTCCCACCCACAAGCAACAAGTCTTGTCTGCCATAACTCGGAATGCAGCCTCGTCCATATTGTCACTCACGCTATTATTGTTCTCATGGGTTAGGTTTTGGTTCAATTGTGACTACTATCAATACCTTATGCCGTAAGTGAGGCATTTTTTAGGGCACAAATGTGAACAGATAGTAAAAAGATTATAGATTGAGTGTAAGAGTATGGAGCATGGATCTAAGTGTGATAGTGTAATAACTCAAATATGTGAAATAAATTTTCTTGAAAAATATGAAAATTCTGAAATAAAACACTTTGACGCTAATCTGGTGAGCATTGAGGCAACGTGCCATTATATATATATATATATATATATACCGACTCCTTACTTGGTTGCTTGACTATGAAGAAATTGAAAGAGGGAAAGAAGAAATATGAGAGATAAATGTTTTTGGATCATATTTGTCGGTTATTTTTATTATAAATTTTATTTTATTTGTTATAAGTGACTAATCTTTTACTTCTGTTTTCAATGATTTTGATTTCTATGATTTTTTATCTCTCCTAAATCTGCTAAAAATATATTATCTCTTGATTTCATAAGCTTTCACCATACAAGTTTGAATATGTTATATATTTGCTCATTCTGAATGATTTGATATGATTATATTGCATTTTAAATGAAGTACTAAATGATATGAGATACATAATATGATAACTCCACATGATACATTACCGATCCATGCGATTTACTGAATGAGAGTCATAAGGAGGGAGATTGATTGAAAGTTATAAGGAGTCAGAGAGACTGATACATGTGATTCAAGGGAAGTTATAAGGAGTATATTGATTGGGAGTTATAAGGGGTGATTGATTGAGAGTTATAAGTACAGGAGCAAGATCCTTAAGATACACTCATTGAATATCCGAATATTGATATCAGCACTCTTACGAATACTGTAATGACATTGTGACTGACATTAATATTATTTTTAATCATTAAAATTATTTAACGTTATTTATCATGATATTAATATTGTTCTTGACATTAGTAATGTTGATTGTTAGTACTACTGTAATTGATGATGCAATGGATTGAGATGTGAGGAACTGTGAAAGAATAAATTGATACAAATAATGAATTATAAAAGGATAAATTGATAATGATAATCAGTATAGGCATTGATGTATATATTTTTTTATATAACTTATAGCATATTGTTTTCTTTTATCTTGTATTGATTTTATTTGTAAGATTTTAGTTAATTGCTGGAATATGTGCTTATTATGTGATTTGACATGTTTTCAAGATATTGTAAGGATCATATGATATAAGGCTCTTGACAAGATAAAATTGTAATCATATTTTTTTTTTCATTGTACACTGATAAGCTCTAATTAAGTAATTAAAATAGAAGATATATGTAATTCTTCTAATATAGATCTTAGAGTGTGACAGATAGTGAGTCACCAACGAAGACATGAAGTGTGGATGGGTTAGTGCGGGTCATCATGGTTGGGACTGAATGAGGTGGTAATCCACTAGAGTTCATGGGATATTTCGAATGTGCGGCAAGTAGGTTATTACTATATATGACAAACTATATATCTAATTTGTATTATTCATTGAATTTTAGAATACAACGAAATAAACCATGAGCTATATTTCAAATTTCTCACCCAAAAAAAAAAAAAACATTATGATTAACTTTACTTTCAATCAAACACTCAAAAATCTTCTCTCTTATATTTAAATTAATCTATACTCAAATCATTCTAAATCAAACAACTTCTTAGATTTAACTTGTTTTTTCAACGTTTTTGATAAGGTAGTTTTGTTTTGAGGAATTAGACTATTAGAATTTTTTTATCTATTGACTGAGGTTGTATAATTCACAATTTTTTTTACCCTTTTTAAACACATTTAGGTTTCATTTGAAATGACTTTTTCCTACTTCTTAAAGCAGATTTTTAGTAAATAATTAAAATTTTTGTAATATCAAACTGCTTTAAGAAATACTTAAAAAAACCATATTTTCACCTAATCTTTTTCTCCATGATCAAAATCCAATGACCTCATAATAATGAAGCTAAGAGCTTCTGAGCTTTATAGGCTTACTGATTATAAATATGATGATAAAGTTGACCACGCATGCAGATGGTGACCTAACGACTTAAACACCTATGACCACTAACATAGCTTACTTTTCAGGCACCATAGTGATTATAATACCATCTGTGATCTGTTAAAGAAGCTCAGCTGATCTCTGCAAAACGTTATTTTGTATTGTAGAGGATCATAATATATCAAATGGTAAGATGGAGCTTTCACTATATTATCTCGAATACAATTTTCATTAACTTATTATGTCTAAAGCTTTATGATCATAATATATTTTTTCTGTTTAAAATAATTAAATGAGCATTAGTTTTTTTGGCTTGCAAGTCTTATAAGGAAGAAATAAAATAAAATTAGGTTAGAATATCTCGATTAAATTTCGATTTTAATGTTATAAAAAAGATTTTTTTGGTATCTATTTGATCATATTGTGTATGCGAGGTTGTGTTATGGTGTCCCAAATCAAAGTAGTTACGATTTGCTGTAATTCTACATGAAAGCTATATTATGGCTGCAAGCGAACCAAACGTTCAACGAGCTACTCGTTGTTCGGTTCGATTAAAGCTCGTTTGTGATCGTTTAATTAACTAAACAAACAAACTTGAACAATATTTTAAATACTCGATTCTTAAATAAACAAACTTGAACACTAATGCGTTCGACTCATTTATGTTCGCGAACAACATCATTTGAAGTTCGTGAACGAGCTCGACATTAAGCTCGATAAGAAGCTCGACAAAAGCTCAATTCGTGTTCGATTTTGAACTCGTGAATAAGCTCGATAAAAATAATTAATATTTGACTATAGAATTAATAAATATAAAAATAATCATTGCCTTTGTTACATAGACAATTGCTTTTATTTTAAATGTGTTTGTTCATAGATACATTCATGAACGTGTTTGTTTGATAGTTACAAAAAATTCGTTAAATATGTTCGCGAACAAGCTCGATAAGCACTAAACGAACAAACATAAACTGAACATAAACCGAACATGAACGCTCATTAATTTATATGAACCAAACATGAACACAAACAATAAAGCTCGAACAAACATGAACCAAACTTGAACAAGCTGATATTAAATGAACACAAACATGAACACTCACATACTCGGCTCAGCTCGATTCATTTGCAGCCCTAAGCTATATGCAAGGCCAAAAAAAGGCATGAAAATAGATGGTGCTGAAAAATCATCAGTCTCGTAAAATGGAGTTGATTTTGAAAAGGCTGCAATTTTGGAATAAAACTTGAGTTCCATATATAATAGTCATATGGAAATTCATATATATATATATATACACACACACAATATTACATCAGATATTCATATAAAAATTGTTGTGAAAATTACTAAGATAAAATCAACTTCAAAATATCTTGATTTTGAATTACTGAAATTATGTTTAGATTGGTATAAGTCAAATTATTAGTTTTAATATAAATTCAATAGCTTCAAAATATATTTTGTTTTTTTTTCCCATTCTCAATTCACAAAGCTCTATTAGAATATTTTTCTATTTTTGGGTGCATTTGGGACGAGTTCAGACCACATCCAAACTCCAATCAGAATAAACCACATAGCTTGTACACTGTGCATAATTTATATACAAGTTGTATACAAATTATACACATACTATGTACAATTTAATGTGGCCTATTCTGATTGGAGCCCGGATGCAAGCTACGTCCAGACTCCGCACGTAATACTTTCTCATTTGGGACAGCTGCATTTGTGATTATAGAAAATTAACATTTTAAAAAATTGCAATTAGAAAGCAACTTCCTAAAATAAAAAAAATTCTTGAAAGCTGTAAAAAAAAAATAACAATCAAATAAAAATTGAAGTTACGGTATGAAAAGTAAAGGTCCTTATCCTTTACCAGGAGAAAGGGACCCCGGATGAGAAGAAAATATGAACGTTAAAAAAGGAGAAGAGTGGATATGTGGTGGCCAGTAGGAGACTTCAAGTCTTCAAATAACTATTTCCGTGCAAGCAAAAGCAAGGGATACTGACTGCTCACTCTTTTGACCAGGATTGCTTTGCACTGAAATGATTTTATTTTATATATTCAAGTTGTTTTTATATAGTTCTTTGAAAAAAAATAAAGAAAATTAGGAAATATTTTACAAAGAATAAACTTCAAAATATTTCATGAGAGGACAGAAGAAATCATCAGGTAATGGATTACCAATAAGCCATTGAAGATGGAAAGAAGCATAATTGATAAGCAATGACAGCACAAAATGAATTGAACAAAGAAGCATTTTGTAGAAGAATTCAACCAAGTCATACAAATACATGAAAAACAATTAATCTGCAGAGTTTCTAGAGTTATGAGCTTGACCTCAGGCTGTAAAACCTTCAGATGAAAGAAATCTGGTTCAGTGATGCCCCTGTTAAGCTGAGGCTTTGTTTGAAACGGTTTTCTTACTGCTTCTTAAAACAGCTTTTTAGTAAAAAAATACTAAAAAGTTAATTTAAGAAGCAGTAAGAAAGCCGTCTCAAACAAAATCTTAATCTAGCTCGAATAATAAAGATGATTTCCATGAAAATTGACTCGAGATATAATAGCACAATGACGTTCTTCTTCCCGAGATATAATAGCACAATAAACTATTGAATTCATGACTTGTTAGTGATGGGCTGAAATTGTTTTCTGACTGAAAAGAGGCCCTGAAGGCTTGGTCCTTGTGCCTGGCACTACAATAACTTCACAAAGGGTGGGGCATCATTCCTTGGGCCAACAAGAGATCGATACATGTATAATTTTTCCACGACGCCATTGTTGTCATCCTCCAGGCTATCTGTGATAACTTCCAAGCCCATGAGAGGCAATCTTCGAGCCACCTCCATGCAACCTTTAAGTGAAATCTTGCATGAAGACATCCACAGAAACCTCATGTTATAGTAATGGTGGCTCCCAGAGAGCAAACCTGAATCTCCGAAAGGGCTATCCCTGATCTCAAGCTTCTGCAAATTGGGGCATCCTTCAAGAACATAGCTCAAACCCAAATCACTATTCCCTGCAAAAGCTACTGAAAGGGTTCTCACTGACTTTCCATAGTTGCCAATGTAAGCAAAAGCTTTGTCTGTGAGCAGGCCTGAAACAGCAAGCCTGGTGAGCTTTTTGCAGTTGTTCACGATGGCTCCAAAGCCCTCATCCATGGGCTCTCCAGTGAGATGATCGGGGCGATGACGACCCATGATACAGAGGCGAAAAACTACCAGATCTTGGCAGTTCTTGGACATGGCTACAACGGCTGCATTGGTCATACTCTGACAGAAGTACAGGATCGATTGGAGTTTTTGGCAGCCCTCGGAGATTGCAGTCAGTCCAACATCGGAGACGGAAACCTCCGAATCCTCTGTGGCATCTAAAGGAAAAACCCTTAGCTCCCTGAGCTTCTTGCAGGTCGCAGCAACCATTTGGAGGCCCTCGTCGCGCACAGAATCAAGAATCTGGCATGAAAAGTCGACAATTTATACAAATCGTACTCCAAATTCTGAGCACAAAGTTAGCTTTGATTCGAAATGAAATTACTTTCATACCCATAAAATTTGGAGGTTGTGGCAATTAGTAATAACTGGCTTGAGCTGCTCAGCAGTGATCTGAGCGTAGCTGAAGTTGAGGGAGATCAGATTGGTGCAGACAGGGTAAATAGCGCACAGGTACTCAGGAGCAAGGTCTCGAAAACCTGAAAGGCATACCAGAGACTTTGAAGCTTTGAAGGCTAATTCGAGAGTGTCGTCAAAATCATCTTCTTCGTCTAAGGAAGAGAACGAGCCGGTTCCAAGGTCGGTGAGCTGTGGCGCCCAGGCCATTAGCCGGCAGAGAAAGCCTACGGACACATGCTCATTAACTCTCAGCCGCCAGAGAGAAGGAGACCGAGCCACAAGAGCCTCCAGAGCTTCAAAGTTTACAATGAACCTAACACAATCGAATACAAGGGATTCAAGGCAAGTTTTCCCTGGTGGGAACCTTGATATCCAATCGACTACCTCATCCTCGTCGTCCTCAACGTCATTCTCGATAAGATCAAGAGAATGCAGGCACCTGAAATCAGGCAAACATCAATCCCCCAACCCGTAAACTGAGAAGTAAGATAGATGTCGAGCTAGGGTTTCTATGGATCAGATCAGAATAAATACCTACAGTTCTCGGCGATGGCAGCAAGGCCGGCGGTGGTGAAGCCGTCGCAACAAATGAGACACAGATCGCGGAAAGAGGGGAAGGAACAAGCCACGAGAGCAAGATCAGCGTCAGTGACAGTCATTCGCTTGAGGCAGATTCGCTGGAGCCACGGGTAAGCTGAGGCCATGGCAGCAACCCAAGGGGAAAAGCTTGCGCCCCAGCCCGAAGGAACCAGGTTAAAATCAGCGAAGCGCGGCTTACCCTTGAGTATCAGAGAGCGAATGCGGGGGAAGCGGAATATGGCTCGTGCGGGGCTGACCGCATAGCAGTTACCAATGAAGAGCTCCGGCCGCGACTGCGCCTCGGCGTTAAACCAAGATTTACAGACAAGGGAGGCGGCGTTTCGGTCGCGGCGTGAGGTCAGGAAGCATAGAACGTTCTCCAGAACATTTTCAAGGACTTGGTCTGAAAACGGTGGCGGCCGGTCTATGAGGGTGGATTCCGAGTTGGATATTAGCCGAGGATTTACCTCGAGATTAAGAGACCAACTCTCAACTTCGTCGCCGTCGCCGTCGTCGCCGGCGTCGCCATACTCCAACATCTTGTAGCGATCGTGTCTGGTGGAAGAAGGCGAGGACAGGATTTTGTAATTCAAGAGCTGTGAAGGGGCATTGCTGTGAAAATAGGAGTATATTTTAACGATATCTGAAAATTATATATTTTTATTGGGCTCATATAGGATCAATTAGAGTTTTAAAAATAAATACAATTAAATCTACTAATTTAGTAATTTTTTTACTAATTTAATATTTTTAACTTTACCAGTATACATTAGACATATCTCTAACTTATATTTTTAGTAATATAACTAATTAATTAGAATTATTAACTTAGAAAAAAAAAAAAGACTAAGCCTGAAAAAAAAAATAAATGCCATGTCCCGCCGCCTATGTAAAGCCTTCTCGCCTAAGAAAAAAAAAAAGCTTTTTGTCCCACACCGTGAAAGACCAAAATATTTTGCTTTATATAATAAGACCTTTGGAAAAGGTTAGAAACTGTGTTGTTTGCTCTGGCCGGCAGTTGTGCCTATAAGGCTAGTAATAACTATTTTATTAAATAATAATAAAACTATTTTGATTTAATAGATAATTAATCACTCATAAGTCATAAATATACTTAATTAATAATTATTAATAAAGTCAGGGGGGCACGTGCCCCCATGCTGCATGGCCCTACCTCCGGCGAAGATACTGCACAGCCGTCATCGACGCGAAAACGGTTATGAAAAATCGGAGCCGGTTTTCCGGTTCAACGGTTGAACCGGCGGTTCGAACGGTCTGAGACCGGTTCGACGCAGAAACGGTTCTCAGGCGAACCTTAACCGGCCGGGCAGCCGGTTCGCGGTTCAACCGGTTGAACCGGCCGGTCCGGTCCGGTTTTAAAAGCCTTGATTAGAATTAGTTATAAAAGAAATAATTGGAATAATAAGTAAATTCGATAGTATAAGAGTATGCATTTGTGAAAAACCTAAAATAAATTAGGGAAATTTACCTGCATATCACTTTATTTTATGTTATTTACATATCTAACATCTAAAACATTAATATTACATGTCTACCATCTACATACAACTTTAATATCAAATATACCACTCATATAATTCTTTTCTACCATTCATAACATCCTATAAACTTTAATATTTCATTCCATGCACCAAATTTTGTTCTATGGATGATAGGCTTGTAATATTAATGTTTTGGATATTAGATATGCAAATATCATAAAATAAAGTGGTATGTATGTAAATCTCCCAATAATTTAATGTAATTTTGAGACCCGAATCACACATTCTAAGAATATGAGAAATTGTTTCACATATTCTAATAAATGCCATAAATTATTTCCTCGTTTTACAAGCGTACTTTTAACATAAAATTTAATGACGAGCCGTTAAAATTAAATCAAGTTACGATATATATATATATTGTTGCATGCCAAAATATTTGTGACGATATGGAGATATATATAAACGTTCAATAAAACAGTAATATGCCATATGATAAACGGGTTGAGTTGTGTAAAGGATGAATATTTTAACTCATATGAGAAAATGGTTCGGTCAATTTCGAATCAAATTTGAGCAGAATCCAACAAAATTAAATTGACACTGCTAATATGACTATAAATAGAATTGGTTAAAATTAACGAGTTCAATCATCTATGAAGAAGAAAATTATGCCAAAATATTATAAAAAAAATTTAGGACAAATTAATCTTATTTATTGGATCACCAGTCACATAAGTCATGCCCGCATTTAAGTTATGTATTAATTGCCTCAACTTAAATATGTTAATAAAAATTATATGAGTGATGCATTAAATAGTATACTTTTTTTTAGACATTTAGGTCAATTAAGATAAACTCATACACACATCATATACGCAAGGCTCAAACTCAAGACATCTTGGTTTGTAACCGAAGCTCCCAATCTATGTTGCATGGATACGCCTATTTACAAGGCATGGTGTATCGGACACCTGTTGGATACAGATACGCCTCAGAAACGGCAAGGATACGTGTCAGATACGTATTTGCCGTATCCAATTAAAATATTATTTATATTTGATTGGACACACGTATCGAATACGTGTGTCATATTTTAAAAAAAATGGAGCCGCAATTTGCCCTATTCATTTCGGCTATCCGCTCGATATCTCTATTCATTTATGCGGCTTAAAAATTTCCGCGAGCTAGGTTTTTCGTTTCCACATAGGTGTTCATCTTCTTTGTTATAGATGAAGGAGTGGCTCGAAGACACGAGCATAAAAGCGGACATGATCATCCTTCGTCGACAAAGAGGCTCAACAACACGAGCATTAAATCCGACATAATCCTTCATCAACGGAGTGGTCCGACAACACGAACAGTGAAGGCGACATGAGAATTTAAGGTTTGTTTTCTTTATTCTTCGTTTTCTTAATCGTAGGCTCGAATACCAGAACTTGGTACCGCTTGGTACTCGGTACCGCTCAGTACTACTCGGTACCGCTCGGTACTCGATATTGCTCGGTACTGCTCTCTACCTTCTCGGTACCGAGCGATAATAGAACTCAGTATCGCTCGGTACTAAGTATTGCTCGGTACTACTTGGTACAAAGGGATACCAAATGGTACCAAGTAGTTCCGAGAAGGTCGAACCTCACCAAGAGACCAATATTGAAGATAACAAACATCTGTGGGGTTATGTGATAAAAATAGGTAAAAAGTTAGAAAGGGGTGGCAATATTGTATTCAAATACAATTTTGATAATGTCACATACAAAGGATCATATTATAGAGTGAAAGCTCATTTGTTGAAGATTAGTGGTCATGGAATTAAAGTATGCTTGAATATAAGCTCATCACAAATGATTGAATTACAAAGAAAAATCAATGAAGCTGAGCAAATGAGTAAAAAAGAGCTTCCAAAATATATTCCACTTCAAGCACTCATGCTTCATCTTCTTCAATTAGAAGTGGTGATAGTACTGTAAATAAATAGCCTTTTTGAATGGAAGAATTTGAACCAAAAAGAAGAAAATATGTTGTAGATAGTGCTTTGGAGAAAGCATTTAATTTAAAAATGAAAGAACAACTAGATGGAGAAATTGCTAGAATATTTTACTGAAGCGGACTTCCTTTTAACCTAACAAAAAATACACATTACAAGAATACCTTTACCTATGCATGCAATAACAATCTTGTAGGATACGTGCCACCAAGATATAATGTCATTAGAACGAAGTTGTTGCAAAGAGAGAGGAATAATATTGAGAAGTTGCTCGAGCCTACTAGAGAAGTTTGGAAGAAAAATGAGTTACTTTGGTTTGTGATGGGTGGACAGATCCATAAAGAAGACCACTTATCAACTTCATGGTTGTAACATAGAGCTATCATATATTTATCAAAGTAGTAAAATGTAAAGGACAATACAAGGATAAGTTCTTCATTTCTAATTTAATCAAAGAAGTTATCATGATGGTAGGGCCTTCAAATAACATCCAGGTCATTATTGATAATATATATGTTTGTAGAGCTACAGGTCTACTTGTAGAATAAGTCTATCCTTATATTTTCTGGAAATCATGTGTTGTGCATACGCTTAGTCTTGCCTTGAAGAACATTCATGCAGCTAAGAATACTGACACAAATGAAATCACCTATAATGAATGTCATTGGATCATAGTGATTACTGGAGATGCAATTGTAATTACAAATTTTATTATGAATCACTTCATGAGACTTTCTATGTTCAATGATTTTTCTAATTTGAATATGCTTGCAGTTACTGAAACTCAGTTTGCCTCAGTTATAGTGATGTTGAGAAGATTAAAAAAAAAAAATAATCTTCAAGCTATGGTGATTAGTGACAAATGGTCCTGTTATAAGGAAGATGATGTTGGAAATAATATATATGTAAATGAAAAGCTTTTAGATGATTTATGGTGGGATAAAATTGAATACAACTTAAACTTCACATATCTAATTTATGAAATATTGAGAGCAGTGGATACGAATAAGTCTTATTTATATCTCATTTATGAGATAAGAAATTCAATGCTAACCAAAGTAAAAGAAATTATATATAGACATAAGAGGAAAGCACTTCATGAAGACTCAAGCTTTTGGGATATTATTTATGCTATTCTAGAAGATAGGAGGAGCAAAAGTAATACACTTTTATATTGCTTGGCTCACTCATTAAATTCAATGTAAATTTCAATATTTTTTCATTATTAATTTATATTTTGTTGTTTAGTAATTTCAATATTTTCTTATTATTTTCTTTTAATATTCTTTGAAGATATTCAACTAAAGAATGACTTCAAGAGGATCCTCAAAGAGTTTCTCAATAGAAAGATTTATAAATTTCAAATATTAGGAAGACATGTTTGCAGCATTATTTTCCAAATGAGGAGAAGAGAATAAGTGTCAATATTGAGCTTGCTAATTTTTTTGGTTATTTAGAAGACTTTGGTGACCAAGAGTCATTGCGTGATAGGTGGGAAATTGATCTAAAAATGTGGTGGATTATACATGGAGCTTCATCACCTCTACTTCAAACAATCGCCATAAAATTGCTTAGCTGAGTTTCATTCTCATCTTGTTGTAAAAGAAATTGGAGCACATACTCGTTCATCCAATAAATGAAGAGAAATAAAATTACATCAGAGCGAGCTAAAGATTTAGTTTATTTGCATATAAACCTTTGGCTTCTTTCAAGAAAAACTTTTAACTTATATGGAAGGAGACAACATGATGTGGGTTGTTGTTGGAGATGAATTTAAATCTCTTGAAGATATGGGAATATTAGAAATTACTAATCTTTCACTTGATGAGCCTGAATTAGAAGATATGATATTCATTGAAGATGATAAAAAAAAATCAAAGAGAAACCACCGAAGAATCTAATCCTATTATTCCTTCTATTGAATAGTTGAAACTTCATCTGATAGACAATTTATGTTTTAGTTTTTGTTGTTGTACTAGACATTTAAATATTTAATGCTTACTTTTATTTTGATATTATAAGATACAATACTACAAATGATGTTGCTTTCATTTTTTTTGTCATTTTAAATATTATGCCTTGATTAATTTGTTATTTTTTAGGTATGATTTATATATTATAATATCATATCTGCACCGTATTCGTATCCTGTATTT